TGTGTTCCCTGTCAGGGCGGTCATTGGTGGGAGCCGGGCACCATCCAGTTCTTCTGGTCTCAGGCTGATGGAATCTCTGGTTTATGTGGCCCTTTTGTCTAATATTTTCCTTGTAACTTTGGTGTTCTTCATTCTCCTTTACTCCAGGTGAGTTGTGACCAATTGATGCATCTTAGATGCCGCTCTCTAGCTTTTAAGACCCCAGACGTCGTGGTAGATTTTTAAGTTGGAAAGGATGGAAAGAATAGTTCTTTAAGCTTGATTTTGTAGTTCAATAGACACTAAAAAAATTCTTGTAACATTTTGTAGTGAGTTTGAGGAATTCAAGGGAGCCTGGTAGTATAGCGGTTAAGTGCTGGGCTGCTAACTGAAAGTTCAGCAGTTCGAACCCACTAGCCATTCTGTGGCACAAAGATGTGGCAGTTTGCTTTGGTAAAGATTCACAGCCTTGGAAACCTCACGGGGCAGTTCTGCTGTGTCTGTGGTCGCTATGAGTTGGAATCGACTCGACAGCAATGGGTTTGAGTTTTTTGGTTTTTGAGGAATTTGAGGCCGATCAGGAAAAATGACATGACCCCGAGTTAGTAGTGTTGTGCAACAAGTTTTTATTAGGGCCAGCGTATTGGTGGTCCCGCACAGCAGAAGGTCTTCCAGAGGCAAGGGCGCTAGGAGCCACCAGAAAGGGAAGAGAGCACTGCAGCAAGGTGGGGTGTCTCTGGGTCTGAGAGCTGCAAAGGGAGTAGTAGCACCTTGCTGGGTGCCATCAAGTCAATTTTTAACTTATAGTGACCCCATATGACAGAGTAGAACTGCCTGTAGGGTTTTCTTGGCTGTGATTTTTCCGGAAGCAGATCACCAGGTCTTTCTCCCACGGAGCTGCCAGTGGGTTCTAACCACCAGCCTTTCAGGTTAGCAGCTGAGTGCTTAACCCTTGGGCCACCAGGATTCCTTAGTAGCACCATAGGGTCCTCATAACTACGGGGTTTTATCTTATCTAGGGCTAGCAGATGCTCAACACAGTTTCATGGGGTATGTAAAGCAGGCAGGTGCTAAGTGGCTAAAAATCTGCTTATATGGGTTATTTTCAAAACAACTGGATATGTATAAGGGGCCCTGGTGGCACAGCGGTTTAGCGCTTGGCTGCTAACTGAAAGGTCGGTGGTTCAAACCCACCAGCCGCTCAGCAGGAGAAAGATGTGACAGTCTGTTTCTGTAAAGATTACAGCCAAGGAAACCCTATGGGGCAGTTCTACTCTGTCCTATATTGACTCAATGGCAACGGGTTTTTTTTTTTTTGGATATGTAGAAAATTTGAGTTTGGTGCCAGCAGGTTTTTTTGGACCAGCAGGCCTCAGCTTGCTATGAAGAAGTAAACAACTTGGGGCCAATACACAGAGGCCATTTTTGACTCATTTATATAACACATTTTAATGAACAGCACTTTCTGTTAGAAAAATGCCCTTCGTCCTGAAGCTACGCCAGTGTAGTACTGGGAAAACACTTTAAGAAGGAAGAAGATGGGAAGATTAATTTGTATTCAAGTAAAAATTCAGAGCCTGAGGAATTTTTTTTTTTTCCTAGTATTGTCATGACAGGAGTTCCTAGGTGGTGCAAACGGTTATGTGCTGGACCACTAACCAAAGGGTTGGTGAGTCGAACCCATCCAGAGGAGCTTCAGAAGACAGTCCTGGCGATCTGCTTCTGAAAGGCCACAGCCTTGAAAACCCTGTGCAACAGTTCTACTCTGCAGACATGGGGTCACCACGAGTCAGAATCATGTCCATGGCAACTAACACCACCAGTAACACTGTCATTACACCAATAGGAATTTCTCAAGAAATGAAAACATGTATTGTTTTGACATGAACGAGGCAACGTTATTTAAAGCTGGAGAAGCATACAGGATCCTGTATAAAAAGTGACATTTTTGAGAGCCAGAAGAATTGGGTTGGGGTCAGGTGACTTAAAGAAAAAAAAATTATAGAAGTAAGCCTAAAAAAGGAGGTAAAATAGAGCTAGTCGGCCAGGTAGGATATGGGAGCGCTTGGGATATGTGTCTGGGTGGCTACGGGGGCAAGTGATAGTGGGGGTGTGGTTAGAGGGTCTGGGAGAGACGCTGGTGGCACGTTCCCTCCTGTGTTGTAACATGACCACAGTTCTGGTGATGATAAGATGATGTATGAAAAGTAGAAGAATCTCTAATTTTGAAGCATTGGTGCAAAGGCTTATGATAAAAATCCAAACCCGTTGCCCTGTAGCCAGTTCTGACTCATGGCAACTCCATGTGTGTAAGAGCAGAACTGTGCTCCATAGGATTTTCAATGGCTGGTTTTTCAGCAGTAGATCACCAGGCCTTTCTTCCGAGGCACCTCTGGGTGGGTTTGAACTGCCAACCTTTTGGTTAGTAGTTGAGTGTTTAACCATTTGTGCCACCCAGGGCCTCCAAAGGTTCATGATACATCATGGTAATAACAGCTGAAACTTATAAAGCAACTGCTGTGAGTCAAACACTGTTCTAAATACTTTATATACATTGCCTCAGTTTAACCTTCCTAACTACCCTATGGTTTAGGTACAATTAGTTTTTTCACTTTACAGATGAGGAAGCAAAGGCATCAGAGGTTAAAAAATTGCCCAGGGTATCACAGCTAATAAGTGTTGGGTCTGAGCTTTGTACCCTGGAGCTCATGGCTGAGCCTCCAAGGTTCATGCTCTTAACCCTTGCGTGATTATATCTCTCTGCCTACATTTGTTTTCTTCACCTACATTGTTTGAATACAGCAGTTAAAAGCACATTAACCACCTTGTGATTTTAGTTTACATGAAATCAATTTAAATAATTAGTCTAAGACCCTTAATTTACTAACTTAGTTTTTATATTAGTCATAATGTAATATAATATGCCAATGGGTATATTGAGAGTTGAGATCATGCAGGGCCTTGTAGACCATGTTAAGTAGATTTTTTTTTTTTTTTGGTGGTAGATATACAATATATGTAGCAACATTTGCCATTTTAACACTTTTCACGTGTACAATTCAGTGACATTAATCACGTTCTCTTGTTGTTCAACCATCACCGCTATCCATTTCTAGATTTTCCATCACCCTTAACAGAAGCTCAGTGTCCTGTAAGAAATGAGTCTCCCTTTTCCCCCAGAATATTAGATTTTATTCCAGAGGCAGTGAGAAGCAGTCAGTGTTAAGCTTTGGAGCCAAGTGGTCACTTTCGTGCTTTGGAACTGTTCCTCTTGTTGCAGTGAGGGATTGGGATTGGAGGGTCGCTGTTGTTTGTCATTGTTAGTTCCCATTGAGTCGATTCCGTGGTGTGCAGAGGAGAACTGCTGCATAGGGTTTTAAAGACTGTGATTTCACAGAAGCAGATCGCCAGGGCTTTCTTCTGAGGTGCCTCTGGGTGGGTTCGAACTGCCAACCTTTCAGCTAATAGTCAAGCGCTTAACTGTTTGTGCCACCCGGCACTCCTTTGGATTGGAGGGAGTGTGTGGGAGGGCAGGAAACGGGACACATAAAGACCAGTCAAGACTTACATTAGTGAAGGTGAAAGATGAGAAAAGTCTGAACTAAGATCATAGCAGTGGGGATGGATTAGAGGGAGCTGATGTAAATGAAGGAGAAATTAAGGGATCACCAGTTGGTCGTGGGGGGTGAGGAAGAGGCGGGAATCATGTAAATCTCCCAGGATCACAGGGCCATTGGAGATACGATTCGCCAAGATTAATCCTAATTAACTGAGATTTTACAATTATGAATAAAGTTTCTTGAGAAGAAAATTTTTTCAATCTTCTTCACTTTTCCATTTTGGTTTTTCTTTACAGTCACCACTCTGTTTTCTTTGGTAAAAGCCCTTTTCATTTCCTGAAACATGTCAGTCTTCTAGCAGAAACAATTGCAGCCGTTTTAATACTTCAAACTTTAATTTATGGAAAGTTTAATTTATGGAAAGCCTGTCCCTTTGGATCCTTTAAACAGGCAACATCTTCGTGCAATTTCCTGGACCATCACACTTGCTGAAGTGCTTGCAAATGCACATTGTTCAAAGTGATAAATGACTTGATGAGAAAATTGATGGCTAACTTGTTGAAACCCTCTTGTGATTTCAGGCTGCTCTGGCAGGAGGCACCACGATGATCATCGATTTTGCCATTCCTCAGAAAGGTGGCTCCCTCATCGAGGCCTTCGAGACCTGGAGAGGCTGGGCTGACCCCAGAGTCTGCTGCGACTACAGCCTTCACGTGGCAGTGACGTGGTGGAGCGACCAGGTGAACTACTTGGGGCGGGGACTGGTTCGCTTTAGCCCCATAGTTCGTACTTTAGACACAAGGAAGGATTAGGTCTGACATATCTTACAATTTATATTGAGTTGTTGAGCATAGAATTAGAACAAAAGTTCTTCTGAATTCACTAATTTCTCCTTGCAATTAGGATTTAGATGCTAAGGTTAGACAACAAGATGAGAAAATATATTTGCACCTCATATCACAAAGGATTGTTACTGTTAGGTGCCATTGAGTCGATTTCAACTCCTAGTGACCCTGTGTGATGGAGTAGAACTGCCCCATAGGGTTTTCTTGGCTGTAATCTTTATGATCCCACCAGCAGCCCTGTGGGAGAAAAGACCTCGAGATCTGCTCCTGTAAAGGTTACAGCCTAGGAAACCCTGTGGGGCAGTTCTACTCTGTCCTATAGGGTTGCTGTGAGTCAGAATCAACTGGATGGCACATGACAACAACAATAATCTTTACGGGAGCAGATCGCCAAGTCTTTTTCCCATGGAGCTCCTGGCTGGGTTCAAATCACACCCTTTTGGCTAGCAGCCAAGGGTTTAACCATTGTGCCACCAGGGCTTCTTCCACAAAGGATTAGTTTTCCTAATACATGAAAAGATCCTGCAAATGAATAAGAGAAAGGCAAACAATCCAATGGAAAAATGAGCAAAGGATACAAACATTCCATTCAAAAAATTAGAAATAGAAATGTCTCTAAAAGTGGATTCTATGGGAATTTAAAATTCTGTTCTGCATTTCCCCCTTTTGATCAGGATTCTTCTGTAAATCTCTGATCAAAATGTTCAGTAATGGTAACAGGGCGCCATCCAGTTCTTTCCGTCTCACAGCAAAGGAGATAGTTGCTCATGGAGACAATTAGCGACACATTTCATTTCTTCCTCCTATTCTTGACTCTCTTTCTTCCGCTGTTGCTGGATGAACCCCCAAAACTGTTGCCCTGGGATAATCCTTAAACCTTAAACCAAAAATATCCCCTAAAAGTCTTCTTAACACAAACAACAGTAACTAGTAAAGAATGTCTGCCTTGAGAATTGTGCTCTTTTAAGATCTAGCTATGTGGGATCAAACTGACAACAACTCGAAAAATTAGATAGGAATCTTCAGGGGCAGGGAGTTTATGTTAACGGGGAGGAACAACTCAGAAAAGGAGAGTGAGAATGGTTGCATAACTTGAAGAATGTAATCAATGTCACTGATTGTACATATAGAAATTGTTGAATTGATGTATGTTTTACTGTATATATTCTCAATAAAAACAACAAAAATCTAAAAAAAAGGCTCTGAAACAAGTGCAGTCTCACTCTCAAAAAAAAAACAAATTAAAAGTACATTAGAATAATGTTTTTCTCTTATCAGATTGGCAAGAAGCAAAAAGTTTGATAACACGGTATTATGAGTAGGTTTGGAAACATGAAGAATGTTAATTTGGCAATATGAAGGGTAATTGGCAGTACCCATTATGACTACAGTGTATATATACCTTTGACACATAAGTTCACTTCTAGGAACGTATCCTTTAGATATACTCACACTAGTGTTAAATTGCAGCATTATTTGTAAGGGCATAATACTGGACATAACCTAAATGTCCATTAATAATGGACAAGCAAAATTATGGCATAGCCTGACAATGGAAGATGTACTGTAGACTATTGTGCCTGAAGCTTTTTTGCACTGAGGTGGAATATTATCAAGATATACAAATCAGAAAAAGCAAAATGCAGAAGAATGCCATGATATGGCACAAAATAAAAGAAGGGGAAAATGCATTCTTTGCTTGTAGATACATAGAATAGATACATAGAATATCTTTGGAAGGAAACACAAGAACTTCGTAATGCCAAAATGCAAGAAACTGGTAATGTTGGCTGCCTCCTGGGGGCCTGGAGGACAGTAGTTCAGGGGAGACATTTCATAGCATAGTCCTCTGTACCTTTTGAATTTTGAATCCTGTGAAAGAATTATCAATTTAAAAAACTAAAATAAAAAAAAAATACAAAGATGACGGGATAAATCCTTTATGCGCGTTTGCAATAGCCTTTTCTAATAGTTGATTCATTGATTTTACAAATATAATTTTAACATTGTATGATAATGTATAAAAACAATTTTAAAGGTACTGATCTCTCTTTTTCTCCACTTCATCATCTCCAGAATCTTTGAAACATTATTTTCCCACAGATTAGAACTTCAATTAGACATGTTTAATTTCTAAAGAAAAAAATCAAGAAAATGTACATTTACAACTAGATGCTTCCATTCTCACTCCTGACTCTTTTTCCCCCTCTTCTGCCCTGGAGAGAGGAAGGGACAGACCAGGCACGTTTCCAAGGCCATCTCCCTCTATTGGTGACCCAGGCGCCCTTCCTATACTGCTCTGCTAATATTACTGCCCGGTCTAACCATTTCGTAACAAAGCTTAAACTGTCTGCTAATTACTTAGGCCATGGCAGAAATAATAACATGATTCAAATAGAAAAGGCAGCTTTGAGAGATGTTAAAATATGTTAGTTCCTCCCCCACATAAATTTTTATGTGTACTTTGGAAGAAACTTTTACTTGTGATTTAAATCAACATCATTTTTTTTTTTCCTTCCACAATGGGCTTAATTCAGAAATTTTTTGACCAGAAAAAGTTCACAAGGTGATTTTATTTGAAGTTTACCAGGTAACCTCTACCCCACCCCCCAGACCCCCCCCCCAAAAAAAATTGGGCTTTAGACACCAAGTTAATGTAAAACCAGTAATCAATCTTTAACAGATAGTTTAGCAAACAATAGCAAGGTTCATAGTCCACGACTAAAGTTTGTTTTTCTCCAAAAATGCTATTCTAAGTGATGTGTCTGATCTCTTTTATGACTTTAGTCAGTCCTTCCTCCCTTTCTCTTTTCCTTGCTTCCTTCCTTCTTTCTTCCCTCCTTTTCCAGCATTGTTACTTAATAACTACTTGGAAACTCACTGCCGTCGAGTTGATTCCGACTTATAGCGACCCTATAGGACAGAGTAGAACTGCCCCATAGGATTTCTAAGGCTGTAAATCTTTAGGAAGCAGACTGCCACATCTTTCTCCTGGGCGGAGCCGCTGGTGGGTTCGAACCACTGACCTTTCAGTTAGCAGCTGACCGCTTAACCACTGTGCCAACAGAGCTCCTAACTACTTGGAAGTGTATTTAAAAACTAGATTAAAGAACCATCCCCAGATTCTGAAAAGAACTTGTCACTACCTTCTCAATTGGTTTGTTTGTTTGTTTTTTTCCTTTTCAGTGGGTTTTAATAGCTTGAGAGCTTGTTTCCATAATTACTTTAATTTTTCACAAAATTTCAACCTATTGTTGCCTGCTTGTTTTTTTCAAAATGAGTTTTGACAAGTTTCAAAAAAATATTTTTTAAAAATTTGAGTTGACAAGACATCAAACCCATAAATTAATCTAGGGGAAATAACACTGACTTACCTTACTGTAAACCTTTGGTCAACTCTCATCACTCACTCCTTCAATGCTGCCGTCTCTCCTTATTCTGAGCGAGGATCTACCTTCCTCCATGGTGGAAATAGAAACCGGAGTATTACCTTGATCAGCTCTCAGTCACCAATGGGACACCCTTGTGCCAATCCTTTCCCTCCTTGCTTCCTGCTTCACGGAAGAGCCGTCTCTTCCCCCTCCAAGGCTAATCTTCTTGCACTTCTCCCCTTGGAACCTTGTTCCCTTGTCCCCTTACCTCCCCTGAGACCACCCTCTCTCGATTCCCCCCATTCTGACCTGCAGCCTCATTTCTTCCTCTTTACTGTCTTCTTCCATCAGATGTTTAAAAAGCTCAAGTCTCTTTCATCTTAAGCATAAATCATTTCTTCAGCCTTATGTCTCATACCAAAGTTAAATCTCAAAAAGAGTTTTC